AAAATCTTTATATGATTAATTGATGTGACGTCTCTATAATAGATGTTTAATGGTCAAGTCATAAATCTACTAGTCAAGAAGCATTAAATATCCGCTCGCTTATGAATTAATTGATTGAAACCTAGGTAAAGACATTTCGACCAACAGATGAGGCGACATGCCTCTTCATCCAACAGCCTTAATTCCACCTCTTCCACCGTATAAACTCACACTTAATATAATTTCGAAGATAATGCAACTCTATATATATGTATTGCTCTCTCTCTATCTCTCTCTCACACATACATACATTTTTCGATAGTTTATGTTACCCAAAGCATCCCACACAATATCTTATCACCGTCGATTGAATTAATTGTTGGAGATCTTACGGCTGCCTTGCCCACCACCGAAAACCATAGGTGACTAATAGGTTTGTCCTAGCGTACACGAGAGTGTCCACATGGAGCTTTGACCAATTGGCCACGTTGGAGATGGAAAAACGGCGGGGAACAAGATCCTTTGTTTTCCATACCATTTACCTTGGCATACATCCTACGGCTGTATGTATTTATTTATTTATTTCACATTAAACTAACATATATAGAGAATCTACAAATAAATCATAGCAGTTTCAATGAGAAAACAAAGAATTTTTACATTTGATTATGAATCTATTTCGACAATTTACAATAAATATAAATTGGGAGATTTATATTATTATTCTTTACTCTTTCTGACTCGTGTTATTTGTGATGCCTTTCTTAAAGAATAGACTACTAATACTACAATAAACTTATTCACATGAATAAGTATAGAGATTTTAAATATATTCAAACTTCAACAACGTCTCTGCCGTGTGTCAAGTATATGAATATTATTCTCAATTAATTAAATTAACACGACTAATTAGTTGTCAAAATTTTCATTTTGACTAATTTAAATTTGATAATTAGTTAAATTACAATTTTCATAGATAAAACATAAATTAGGAGATGTTTATGATTACTCTTATCTCCTTCTGAGTTCTGACTCATGATTTTTTTGGTTTTTCCATAATAATAATAGGGAAAAAAAAAACTCAATCCTACGAATAATATGGAGATTTAAAAAATGTATTCAACTTTTGACCATGAGATTCGTAATTAACTAAATAGACAACTGGGATGCTTTCGATAATGAACAAGATTCAGCCATCTCCGCTTGCGGAGGAACAAAGCAATGCAGCTAGGCTGTTCAAACAGCTTCATAATC